AGCTAGCTGGCCAGCCTAGTTCTAGTTAACTTAAATCCCCTCAGTTTAAATAAACAGGTTCTTACTTCTTCAGTATACTCTATGGTCCATGTGAGCAGCATTACAGTCAAAGATGACTCCATTAATAGCACAAGGGTTTTTCGGGCTGTGGCAGTAATACAGAGTTCAGTTGTTGAGGTGGTCACAACTGTGTGTATATCGTGGAGTTTACAATGACAGCTGCGTTCAAAGCCAATCAGATTTTAGGACCGGAACCATCCGTTTTATAAAATATTCCAACTTGCCAACGTCAACACAAAGATGCATTTTTACTCAAATTTCTTTACAATTCAATGGTTAAGATGTAAACAAAGTCATGAGGAGAGGTTTGTTGTAACCAGCACTGTTCACAGTGGTGGTCAAAGGAACCAGACAATGGTGAACGACTTCACATGAAGCCACTCTTTACAAGGCTACCACTGCATCAAACATTCGATACTCTTCAGTAACATTAGCTAAAATCTGTCTGTGAAATTACGATTTTACTTGCTCAAGTTCTCAGGTACTCAGGTATGTGAGAGCGCTGGGGTGATCACACATTCCTTTAAAATAATTCTACTGAGAAGCATTAAATCAAACATTAGAAATGTAATTGTGCCTACAAGGACAATCAATCACTTTCATTTAAATGATTCCCGTGCCTCAAATATGCTATGCATCATCCTAGCAAACAGAGTTAACAAAAAAAAAACAAAACAACTACATCTAAACTAGGGCCAATATGGATACAGCTGAATATCCATGATGTCAATATGGTTTTAACAAAAACACCCACAAACTCATCTGGAACTGTGATTGGTCAGGATGCTCACAGCACAAACATTTCAACTGGTTCAAGAGCTTATCTGCATACTGTAGCCTTGTTTAACTGCTAAAGAAAACTCAGTAATATAATTCATCACTTTACTATTACGGACTCCACCAGCGCAACCAAGCTCTTCATGCATATATACTCTCACTGAGCCACTAAAGGGTTTCAGCTAGGAGTTTACCCCCTTAAGCTTACCACGCCAGTGCAGAGCAGCTAGTGGCATGCTGGGTAAGGGAAGGGGGAGAGCATTAGAATAAGCAAATCTGAAAAACCAGTGAATATAACAATTAAATAGTTTTTCAAAATGGACTGAGCCAATCTGCTAGCAGGGAAATTTCATAATAGCACTCAATTAAAAAAAAACAAACACAACAAACAAAAAAAAGGCATATAATGAGAACATTTTGCTCAGTTAAGGCCACCTCTCTCGCCTCGCCAACTCCACTCTAGAAGTGGCCCCACCACACTAATTGCAGGGGGGTGGGAGCAACACTAGGGGTTTAACATAAGGCTGTAGAGGAGACACAAACCTATAACCAAATGCTGAAAGCAACATTACACTTAGCTGCTTAGCTAGGCCAGCCTCTCTTCATCCCAACTGTTACCGTGCCTGAAAGACTGATATGTAAATATTTTACTGATATGTAAATGACTCTGTACTGTGCCTCATTCAAAAAAGGCTGAGCTGAAACGCTTCTTAAAACATCAGTGTTAATGGGCAGAGCTACACTGCAGTAGGCTGAATGGGTGGATATATGTAAACGCATTGTTTTTTCAAGGACATTACAGAAAAAAATAACTACACACAGGCTATTTCTGCAGACTCCAGCAACTGGGGGGGTGAATGTGTAGTTTCAAAACGTACCACTATATCAAACTTTTTCCAAAAACTGGAGAAAAAAAAAGGGCCTATATGGCAAACCAGTTATCAAAAGAAACTTTTGTGGTACTATATAGAACCTTTGTTGCCAAGTCTGTATATTAAACAGACGGCTAAACTATACACAATGCATTTAACTGAGCACCCTGTGCAAAACAGCCTTTAGCCAATTTGTATCCTACATCCCACAAGTCAATACAGACTGCAGGCTAAATTCAAGCAGGTAGACGAAGAATTTGTATAAATTTCAGTCACATCTTATAAGCTGCTCTGGAAAAGTGCATCTGCAAAAATGATGAATACAAAACGTAAACCAAGATAAAATTAAAAACCCAAATATAGACTGGAGAAGAATGTCAAATTGCCCGTCACCCCCTCAGCGTATCAGCGGGGAGAATATTCAAATGCGTTTCTGTTCATGTTATTCGAAGCAGTCAGGTTGATAAAAGCGGTGACTGTGAATGAGTTCATCCAGTGGGCTTTAATGAGGCCTTGGAGCATTTATTCGTCATTAGATTAGAAGGAAGGCATAAAGGAAATGAGAAAATAATCAAAACAAAGACCACAAACTAGGCGGCTGTTTTGCGATGTTTGCGACTAAAGTAAAATAAAATTAATTAAATTAGGCCATTTACTGTTCTGCAAATACAGAACATGTGGTAGTGTCATTGAGAGGAATGAAAAGTTATGAAGGTCTGTGAGCTAATGCTGCTTTTCAAAGAAGAATACTGACCGTGACGTACTGTGGTAAACATAAGCTGCGGCCCCGAAGCTAGACTGCAGTGTAGGTGGGCTGCATTTCTAGACTGCTACGTCACTAAAGGCCGTTTCAGTTAGAAAGACCCTTCAAATGCAGCCAAGAAACGCACTCTAAATGACGACAGTTGAAGGACTCACACTGAAGGTTTTAAAATGCCCACAGATGAAATCACTGCATCGCAACCTCATCTGCAGAATTCCTGTTGAAATGTAAGTTCATATAAGCAGCTCATGTTTAAGTTAGTTCAGTTTTTGTGTTTGCTTTCTAAAATTTGTAATGACAGACTATTTATGCTAGACTACCTACAGTTAGCTCTTCTGAGCCCAATGAAAAAAAAAAAGGGAGTCAAACATACAGTACACTTTCAACAACCCATCACAGGACAGTGATACAGAAGACCTACCCTTTCTGTGCTGCAGCCTAGCTTTGAGATCATCTTATAGTTTAGCATTTAAATTTGGTTATCCTTTCATTCCTCCTACTGGAAAAAAGCCTCACAATACAACCTCATGCAACACTGCACTTAAGCTGCAATGTGGGCTAACGTCAAATGTCAACTTCATAAGAAACGTTAATGTGTTTTTATGGCTAATATCCATTGCTTGCATTATGTCACCAGATTTAGGTAATGTCTCCTTATGCTTTCCCACTGACGAAACGAAAATAAATCTAGAAAAAGTCTGCTGGCCTGACTGACCATTTCTTGAAAATGGTTATAGCACGCATAATGTAGTCTGTTCTGAAAGTGCTGTTTTGTTTTTTTTGTTGTTCATTTACTATATAAGTTTGGTTTACTGTAATATCTCCAACTTTTGTTTGAACTTGAATTAAAAATTGAAGCAAACTCAAGATCAGATACTCAACCTGAAAGTTAAAATCTGTAGTAACATTAAACAAATGAGAAAATTTCTTACTGAAACTCAGTAAGGATTTATGCACAACATCCCCAACTGTTCTTAATAAATCTGTATAATGTAGTCCAGTATATTTTAAAGCTAATTAAACAAATATACTTTACAAAACATAACAGGCCTTTCCATTTTACTTTTATGATATTCACTTTTGAATTAATACCTTTTAAATAAAAATTTTACTTTTTGCGGTTTCATGCTGAGCCGTCACTGACCTCAAAATGAGAACGTTTATCTGAATGATGATTATGGAACTCCTCTACACACAGTTTACGGGCATTTTGATAAAATCACCTTAAAAAAGGCCCACAAATGCTTTCTAGAGACAATTAGAGGGTACATCCTCTAAAAATATCAGCCACAGAAGAGTACACCTCTGATCTCCAAGATTTGATTACAGTTCTTGAGGAAATGATTTGGAAAACACGAAATCACATTTCACCACCATTAGACTTTGCTACAATTCAGAAATTTCAGAATATACAAACATAACCGAAAACATCCACACAGTAGCTGCTGCTACTACTGCTACTAATAATAATAACCATTTTGCATGTGCTTACATGGTAAATAGTCTGACTTAGTTTAGCCAAAAATTGAGCCAGTACTTTGAAAACTGACCATTATAATATAGAACACTATAATTATAGAATTACTTAAGAATAGATGTTCTGCAATTATAATAAACATTCTAAATACAGATTAATGAAAAATTCATTTACAGAAAACTGCTTTAAAAAGAGTAGAAAATAAATACGAGGTGATTTAAGAAATTAATTTCATCCGACTTTCAAAATGATTTATTTCACTTTTAAATCATTACAGAATAATGCAGTAATGCAGTTGTAAATGGTTTAAGTGAGCATAAAGTTTATGTAATTTTACAAGTGCTCAGTATGAACCTTCTCCAGCTGTACAGACATCAGTGCCATAGTTAGATTCATGCTATACTCGATTGAGCGTGACGGGTGTCGCTGTACTCACGATTCTTTCAATGCATCCAGTGTTGTTGGGAGTGGTGGCACAAAGAATCCTTAACGTACCCCCACAAAAAGAGTCACACGGCATGAGATCTGGTGATGCTGGTGATCTTTTTCTTGAAACTGCTGGTACCAACAACGAAGGCTCTGAGCTGTTGGAGGTTTGCTGCCAGTCTGACAGCCAGAAACTCTATGACCCCCTTTTTCAATTGGTGTGTGATTGGTTCCAAGGCGCCTCACGGTCGAAATAATATAGGGTTTAGAAATTGGATTGATCTTTTTGAATTACCCTGTATCATCAGCATCCGACATATGCTTAGATTAAACAGATATCTCCTACTGATATTATTGATGACGCATTTATTGTAGTTTAGAACAGCAGAAGTATTCCCTACAAATGTTTGTGCCACAATTGCTTCCCAAGACCATGAGTGCATGTACTGCAAAATTACCATCAAAAAAAGAGCCAACAGAAATGTATATCATTTCTATAGCAGCTCCCAGCAAACTCAAGACATTTATTTGCAAACTGTCCATCTCTGACATGAAAGGATCCTTTGAAATCACCCCAATCTTGGCAAGAAGGCCAACTACAGAGCAGAAGAACACTTTCACTCACCTGTGATTTTGTCTCGTACTAATTTGCAGGATTCGATCTCGCCGATGCTGCCAAAAAGGCTCTTTAGCTCCTCCTGGGTCATGTTCTGGGGAAGGTAGTTCACTATGAGGTTAGTTTTACTGTCCTCGATGCCAGTGGACTCCACGGGTGAGGTGCAGTTGTTGGAGATGGGAGCAGGTCCATTGCTCGTGTTGTTGCAGGTCGGTCCGTTCGATAGCTGTGTTTCCATGGCAGCAATTACCTGCTAAAGAATCCGAAACGGAGAAGAAAAAAGGGGGAGAAAAAGTCAGCAAAAGAAACACACCTCGCTCAATGTCATTATGTGCCATCATGAGCAATTTCACCTGTAGGTGCTGCTTACGCAACCAAATATACAGCCTGTACAGCGGTGTATTTATACTGGAGAATGGAATGTAACTGGCCCACAGTGACCTGAATGCAAAATCTGCTATAAGAAATAATCAGCTTTATTCTTGCCTATTTATCCCCCCCCCTCGTTTAAGACGTTCCCATGTGATGACCTGTGATACTCTGCAAAAGATTAAGCTGCACTTGCATCAAAATTGAGCCTGTATGGAAAATTGCAGTAGGTTCTGAGGAATAAAACGATAAAGTAGATTCAGGTTCAATTTCACCATGACTCATTTTATTTACCAAGTACACCGAGATACAGAAGAAATTCTTCCCTTTCAAAAGATCATCTCCAGTAGTAATCAAGCCGATTAATTCCACACGAAACCAGCGTAGGTAATAAATGGGACATTAAAATCCTGCCAGAGTGCCCTCTGCACTGATATTCTAGTTAAAGCCGTGACAATGTTAAGCATTTCCCTTTTAAGAGACACATGCAGTCTCAAAAATCACTAATTACCCATTTAGCCACAAGGATCAACGATGGCACATTCTGTTAATCTCACCAAATCCTGCTTTAGGTGTTAAATTATAAAAGTCCCATCAATCAAAACAGCATAAAGAGGGGGGGAAGCAAATAAACTGAGCTAAAGTGTTAAATTAATAAAAGTATAGGAAGGTATCTGCTAAAGTAAGCGAGTCTGCACTGTGAAAAACCACCTGCACCAGAAAACAATACTGCACTGCATCCCACAAAAACACTTACCAACATAATGCACGACATATCCAAATCAATGAGGCCAATTAGCTGACTAAAAGGATTAGATAATAGACTGTATTAAGAAGTCAAACTGTTGCAATACTTTCAGCACAAACAGCCTACTGTACAGAATGACCATAACATTTCTATACTTTCAGAATTATTCAGTATATTCAAAACCATTCAACACAAGTTACTACTGCAAAACAGTCCATTGCTTCCACCACAAAAGCTTTCAAGCCAACAAACCTACACCCAAAACACCCTCGAAATGAACATGCCCACCATAACAACTTGCACTTAAAATGTATTTATTGCATTCAGATGATTGCAGGCCCTTCACAAACCACCACAATGTGGGTTGAACAAAGCGCTTAAATTGAAGGCTAGAAGCTTCCAACACACAAATATTGCTTATTTGCTGTGCTCAAAGCAGGGATAAGGCGTTTCAGGACGGTTCACTTGTTAACTCATTTGCTATTCATTATGTACCCTTTACTATACAGTGAACTGTCATGTTAAAGATCATGAAAATCGAGAGATTTCCTGTCGAGAACTGATCTATCCATGTTCTGCTCATAAATACATGTTCATTGCAAATGTTTCTCAGCTGGACAAGCTTCACAGAACTACAACATTGGTTTAAAATCAATACCTAATCAATGCAAGTGTTCTGACAAACTTTTTGGCTACAGTTTTCTCACTAGGTTTGAATAGGATTTTTACCAGTATTCTGTAAAGCTTGTCCGACTCACAAAAGAACACATTTAGGGGTGAAACACGATGGCTCTACTCGAGTACTAGTGATAAAGACGCATTGCATACTATTCCAAACAGAGCACAAGCTGAGCACCACAGGAAATTACTATATTTGGCCATAACTAAAATGACAAGAAAAAACAGATGCACTATATGCCCAAAAGTCTGCGGATATCCGCTCACGCAGCATTTCTTCAGAAATCAAGGGTATTAATAGGGTGTATGTCCCATTCTGCGCCAGTAACAGCCTCTGCTTCTCCGGGAAGGATTTATACAGCAGATCTGTGCCAAAAGTGCTTGCAACTATACATCACATTCACACTGAAACACACTTGTGTGTCCACAGTGCAGTTTGTATCTGTAATATTACAAATTGTAACCATACAGCACAATTTGTATTCAGAAACTTACCCTGGAAAAGTTCGTAATTAAGTTTTGTAAACAATAAATAAAATAAATAAATAAATAAATTGCATCCATAAATGACTCATTTGATCATGTGTACAGTTAAACTGGAATCTCTCAAACTTACCACAGAAACAAGTTTATTTCTAGCACAAATTGTGGCGCACGGTTACTGTTACAGATACAAACTACACTGTGGACACTTGAATATTTTCAGTACAAATGTGAATGTAATTTAATTTTTGGCACAGATCCGACATTACAATCTTACACTAGATGTTGGAACACTGCTGTGAGAATCTGATTACATTCATCTACAAGAGCATTAGTGAGGTCAGGTACTGATTTTCTGGATCACTTCAACTCATCCCAAAGGTACTGGATGGAGCTCCATCACTCCAGAGAATGCAGTTCCACTGCTTCACACCTTTACACCCCTCTAGTCCATGTGGCATTGAGCATGATGACTTCAGATGTACGGCAGCTCTAGAGCATCCCGTTTTGTCTGTCAATGCTTTTCTATGGAGATTATAACTGTGCGTGTGCAACTGAACGCCTGTGTCAGCAATGGATGACCTTAACACTGCTGAATTCCCAAATTAGAAGGGATGCCTGGATACTTCTGGACATATAGTGTATGCACATAAGAAGACAAATAAATAAAGTCCCACAGACCCCAGTCCAAGGCTCTGCCGCCCACGAGCCACTTCTAAGCAGAGAAGCCACATCACACAGCCTGACTGCCATGTTAGTTTGGAGATGCCGTCTGCAATGTGGACACAGAGAGAGCACACCGTGTTAGAGATTTGACAGGGACACAAACGTCAAACAGTCAGAGCAGATCACATCATTAAGTAGAGGGGGAAGTATGTGTGTGTGTGTGTCTCTCTTGGAACTGGGATAGAGCCATGCAGACAGAGAGGGACAAACACATTATTTGTTGTATCTTTAAAGGGCCCATATCACATAAAAAATAAATTCCCTTTGCTTTAAAGTGTTACATAAAGACTTATAAAAGTTTCAAAAGGCACCGTTCACAGGACACTAAGCTGCAAAAACAGCCCATTTGGAAAACATTGTGTTGTCACAAAAGCCAACATTCATATTTTTAGCATACAGCAGTTTAGCCCCACCCATTCATACACACTGCATGCTAATTTAAGTTTTTCTGCCTTGACCTCTGAGTGAATGCGGCCAAATCCAAGGTAATTTACATATCAGTCTTGAAGGCGCCATAACAGGAACACAACAATAAATAACTGTTTTAGTAACAAAAATCTAACATACATAAGTGGCTTGGGTAGATATGAAAAAAAAAGAGGAAAAAAAAATGAACAAGGCATCTTTAAAGGCAATACAGTAAGACCAGAGTAAGGCTAAGTAAGTGAAAGCCTGAAAATACTTTCGGAGAAGCAGCCAAATCATACATCAGGAAGAAGCAAAAGGGGAAATTAGTATAGTGAAATATTTCTCTGCAATCCATAGTGCCTAAACATAGAGAGGTCATAGGCTAGTAAAACTGGGACAGCATGTTTTGGAGAAAGCACAAAAGATCTGCTTAATTTTTTACAGTAACAGGTAAGCACACTCTCTCGGGTTTGCTCTAAACAGCTATTTAGTCACCAGGTCACACAGCCGGTGGCTTTTAATCTTTGTTAAAAAAACGCTACTCCACCTCCACAATCTGTGCCTAAAGTCTAAACCTGCTAAAGAGTAAAACTATTGAAAACTGAAAACCTGAAAACTACTGAAAGATAAGACATTGATTATAATGTACCTCATCAATAAAACAGCCTGTGAAATTTAGAAGATACTGCACATTTGGTCAGGATGCTACCAGCACGCAAACACATGAACCATTTGGTCTTTTAAAAAAAGTTCTGATTACTTAATCAATTCTTATCCAATTACTAGTAACTGTTAGTAACAGCCCTAGAATAAACACAAAATTTAACACAGTTCAAGAAACTAGCACTGTTCCTCAAATAAAAAACAAAGGTTAAAATACTCAATTAAACTTATCCAAGCATACAAACAGTAATCAATGAGTAAACAATAATGCACAAAGCTAAAAGAGTAATTAGAATTGCTGTGGATGTCCTAGAACCACTTAAGCAGTGCATGATATTTCTGGCAGTATTTTTTTTTTTTACTAGACTTTCTGATTTAACAAAATCTGACAGAGGATGTGAAGGGGCAAATCGATCCAATTCACCATCTTTGAATTTACTCTGTGGAGGATGCATTTTTTGCCTATGAAAATGCTCAACGCAGCTTGAGGAGAGAGAAGGAAACCCTGAGTGTCAGCCAGACAAAATGCTAAGCAAGGCAAAACAAGAGACAAAAAAAAGCTGCATTGTTTGGGTGCCTGCCTCTCTCCTTTCCAAAATTAAATTTCACCTTTAAATTGAATAGCGAGTAAAACATTGGCCATTGTTCAGTTTTAACAAATGCACCTAAAAAAAAAAATAATTTAGAAACAGTGGTAGGAATAAGCTGGCAGTCCAATCAGGAATGTCTGGCCTGGGAAAGATCGCCTGCCAGAACGCAGCTTTTGGCTAAAACCAGTTCAAGAAAACCCTCCCATCAATTTTCTTACCATTCTCATCCTCTAGGCTGGTAGCAGGAAGCACACTTTGCTGTAGTAGGGTGTTAACTGCATGCCAAAATCACGTGTGCCTCAAACAGCATGGAATCATGTAGAACGCTACATGCTTACACTACTTTTGTTACATTAGCCTCATAGCACCAGTGGAAAAACTAACGTGAGATACAAGCCACTTCTATTAAGTGCTGGGGGGGCTGCAGACCTCAGCACACTGCCTCATTAAAACACACCTGATTCAGCTCATCAGATAATTAGCAAGGCCTTCATGAACTGAATTCAGAATGTTAAATGAGGGTAAATGCTAATCTCCACAGCACTTTGGCCTGGAAGGTCCCCAGTTTGACATGACAGCATTAGAAGGCGTTCACACCTTTTCAAAATCTCTAGAGAGTCTCAAGTTTCACTGTTGTCTATGAAGCAACGCACCTGCAATTGAAAGCCTGCAAAATGCATGCCACGCCATTAAACTACACATTTAAGTTAAAAAATAGTCAACTTGTCTGCAGCGCCCCTACGAAAAAGAGCCATACATCATCCACAGCTAACCAATTAACATCAAGGATGCCATCTTCAGTCACACACCTCTAGACATGGTTAAAAACTGGACCGCATTATTTTGACCAACATATTTAAATGTTTGTTGAATTTCATTAACACTTGAATCAACACTACGTTCACATTACTCATTGCTCAAATCCGATCTCTAACACGATGGTTCACACTCGTTTACATAAGTGACTGTCATTAATGTGAATGAACCAGTGTCCTGAAATGACCTGCATGCGCACATCCTACTCAGTGACGTCACGGGAATCATCAGCAAACAAACTAACGAGCTTCGCTGCAAAGCTCTGCATTAACTCTGAACAGCTCTTAGCTGCATTACTAGAGTGAGACGATGTTGTGATACTTCAGCCTGGTAATATGTAATAACACAGCCATAGTATCCAGTAAGTTTGAGCTTTTATTTGCATACGTCAGTCTTCTGCATTCAGTATTGCAAAGACCAGTATCATAATTTACAACAACAAACGATACATTGTTCAGAACCAAAAGCTTAGGTAAACGATTTTGCACACAGATCAGAGCAGTTCAACTGCACCATTATTCAATTTGCAGTAAAAAAAAAAAAAGGATCGACTCCCTCAACCTTCTCTTCTCACCTCCTCAGTTAAAGATGGATTAGAATCAGGGTTTTCTTTCTCAAACACCCCAAACGCATCACACTTCTGACAAACACCAAATGTAGGCCTGCCGGCTTGAGCTCTATGCTCAACATGCACCCATCATAAAACCATAAACCACATTTACGGTGATAAATATATAAAGAATATCAATTTGAACGCAAAGTTATACTGAAATAAAAACTGAATAATGTTCAAAACTCCTGCTTTGTTGGAAGTCAACAGTGCGGCTCGCACATCACGCCTCTACTGTAAGTGATGGAGCTCTCATTTAAAAATAACAAGAGAAAATGTGGAAGCATAAGGAACAAGGCGCCCACATAACATTTTCATGGTGATTGGCGTGTCCTACTTGTAAGAACATTCACTTGTAAGTTTCATGCATTTTTCCCCTCAATAGTAAAACTACAAGTCTGGCTTTACTAAAAGCTGAAAAGTAGACTTGAGGGTAACTTGTACATCTGTGGGGCCTCAAAAAAAACAGGAATGGAAGGAACTTAATCATTTAAAACATCGCAGTAATATTTAATGTGGTGCTGCCCAAAATGACAGTATCAGTATTGTGATTATATGACATTACTGCTGTGTTACATTGCTAGACTTTGCACTAGTTAAACAGTGGTGAATCAAAAATCTGACCTGGTTAAAGACAGTCCTGCACTACCTCAACCAAATTAATTATTTTTCTTGAATTACATGACCTTGATTCAGCAAAACACCCACAGAAAATCATCTGGAACTGTAGTTTGTCAGAACGCTCACAGAAACCAATACAGAATACAAAACCAGAAACTGGTTTGAGGCTCATCTGCATACTGTAGCCTTCTGTGATCAGTATCTTAAAAGGTCAGCAATGCGATAAATAATTACACATTACATTGTGCAACCCTAATTTACAATCAGCCATTTTGAAGAATGAAAACATTTGAGAAGTTTGGTAGAGGTGAGCTAGTTAGTGGATACATGATTAAAATTCTTGCTTAAATTACACCAAGTAGCACTAAATGTTTTTACTTGATGACATTACTAACATTCGCTCCCTAACACAAGTTCAAAATGTAAGACATACCTGCTTTCAACTAGTATCTCGTTTCACTGCATAACATTCGAAATGAGAAAAGAGTGAAGTAATAAGTGAACCGTTTCTGCTTATATATCTTTCCGTAACTGTTGTTGAAAGCTAATCAATTTCATTAACTCAATCACTGTAGCACTACTATCTCAAATGGTGCAGCATTTGGTGCAAATTAAGCAAAATAAAAAGTCTGCAGGTCAATAACAGAGTCAAAGTCAGCCGTCCCCTACAGCTCACACAATCAAAACATGAAGCCCAGAATTAGCACCTACCAGGGGGTCTGAGGACAAGATGCTGCAGTTTCAGCGTGCGAACAGCGAGGGAAAGGCTTCAGCTGAGACTCGAATACCCTATTGCTATTACGTCACTAGTAGAGATGGCATAAAGCCGCTTTTGCCTTTTCCAATACAGAACACCCCAAGCACCAGCCGATACCAATCAATGCACTAAAGGCACCATACGTAAACTGCTCAGGCACTTATTTCTTCCTTGACTTGTATTAAACCAGAGTTTTTCGTTTAAGATCTGAAACACCTAATGGACCTGACTTGTAACTTGCACACTTCAGCCAGGCTGCAGGTTCACCTCACCACCTAGGCAGCGCTATTTGCAGATGTAAATGCTTCACATCTGTGGGTCCTCATTTCTTTTTAATGTAGTTTAAAAAAAATCACTTGGTGAAAAGTAAAAACAAAAGGTCTATAAATTACAGAAAAGTTACATGATACATGTGGCTACTGTTTTCACATGACTTAGGCTTCACTTAATGCTCTCCTGCACTATGCACAACTGTGATATTTCATGCTAGATTTGTTACTTTAGTGCAATCATTGGTTGCCACATATTGCAACATATACATACTGCAATATATTAAGACACCTTACTGATACCTTGATGTA